GGTTCTGTATCAGGAAGTTGTCTGCAGAGGGTCACCTCAGCCTATTTACTTGTCCTCCTTGCCGGGGCTCATGTCCTTGTTCCTTCCCTGGGATCTTTTTTCTGAACATCTTGTTCTTGGTCACACCGCCTGGCACTTGAAGCAGCAGGCAGGTTGCTGCCATCTAGTGGTGAAGGCAGGACATGGCACTGCAGGGCTCTGTCCAAAACAGACTTGAGACGAAAGGAACTCTTTCCAGGACAAAGGATCACAAACTTCTGTAGCTGTGGAGTCTGTCCTTCTTCTTCTTTTTAAAAAAGGTTTGTTTATTTATGCATACAGAACTGGGGGACAGGACAGAGGTGCAAGGGCGGTGAAAGCATCCACCAGAGACAGAGTGGGGAGCAGAACAGGCAGATGCATTGAAATACACTGCTGAGGGGAGCAGTAGGTGGGTCAGGAGAGGTCTGCTGCACCATGTGGGTCAGCCCCCTACATGGTGGTTTGGCCTGGGCTCGAACTCAAGCTGCAGTGGCTTTAGGTAGCTTCACAGGGCTGTGCCTTAACCCCTTGTGCCACCGGGGAGGCCCGGAGTCTTTCCTTCATGTGACAGCCGTGGCTTGGGTCCTCGTGTAGGATGGATAAAACCTCTGCAGTTCTGGTGGTCCTGCTGGATCCCCAGCATAACTGGCAAGCAGCTGATAGTCTCACCCCTCTTTGTGAGGGTTGGTAAACGCGGAGCTGGGGGTTTGGGGACCTGGGCAGACAGTGGCACAATCAAAGTAGAGCACAAATCCCTTGTCCAAAACACTCTTTGGGATTTGCCCACTTGTACCCCACCCTCAAATACAGCTTCCTGAATGCTGGGTGAGGCCAAGGTATCAGGCCCCTGGAGAGGAGCCCAGAACTCAATCCCTCTTGAATCCTTTTACTCTTCAGCAGCACAGCGATGTGGATGTTCATGACCTCAAGTTTTTGGTTAAAAAAAAAAAAAAAGGAGGCTGGACATATTTACTTCCTTAGTTTCTCCCGAGGTAGTAAGAGGCAGAGTGAGAATCCAAATTCAAATCATTCTAAGTCTAGAACCCCAAGTTCTTCCCACTAAATTAGTGGAACTGCCTTCTTCTCCATCTTCCAGGGGCCCATCGGCTTCTTCCTCTCTCCCACCTGCGGGCCTCCCTCCTTCCCAGCTTCTGTGTAGCTCAGAAACACGTGCAAGCTGCAGAAAGCGCCAGGTGCGTCAGTCTGTGCACCGAGCCCCATGCAACTCTACTTCCAGGTTGTCATTGCCTCAGAGCTCTGGTGACAGTTACACATTCTCTGACTTACAGCCCTTCACCCCCTCCTTTAGTGCCAGAGACTTCCAAATTCCATGGCGCTTCCCTTTTTTCTCCAAGGCTAACTAATCCCTTAACCCGAGGGACAGCAAGCCTGTCCTGTAAAGGGTCAGACAGCAAGTGCCTGGGCTTGGCGGGCCATTTGATCTCACGTGGCTGGGATGCCTGGGCTAGTCATGTCCTAAAAAAATCTCACACCGAAGTTTGACTTTCATATCATTTTTACATCTCATGACATGTCGTTGTTTAAACTTTCTCCCCCAGTCATTCACGAATTTAAAAACCACTGTAGCTCACGGGCTATATAAAAACAAGTGGAGGGCTGTACTTGGCCTGTAGGCCATAGTTTGTAAGCCCCTGAATCAGTGTTGTGGCTCAGTTAGCCAAATTGACAGGGTGCAAGTCTTTCACTGATCACAACTTTTCCAGCTAATTCAGACAGCTTGTCCTATCCTCCAAAGGTGCAACAGCTTGAAACACCTCTAAACTAGGCTTATCTTTTGAGGTAGATTGACTGGAAGGTGCTGGAAAGATATCTGTTCCTGACTACCCGCCCTGTGTCCTATGCGAGGGTGTTCTCTTTCAACTCTAAACTGGTTTTCCTAGGCCTGTACATTTCCATGCATTCTCTGCTCCAGTCATGTGCACCAGGCCCTTATCAAAGCATCCCAGACTCTCCTGTGAGGAGCAGGTCTTGTCAGTCCTTTTTTGTTCAGTTCTCAACTCCAGTGTTGCCAGAGTTCCAGAGGCAGTCTTTTTTATAAAGGGAGACTTTAAATGTAAGGGGGGCTAGAAGAGTTCAACCAAAGGCAAATTTGTGGAGAAGCAGGATTTTAAGTTGCTTTGCCAGAGGGAGAGGGGTAAGGATGGAGGAAGGTAGGAGGCCTAGTGCCCAGACTGATAGTGCCTGCTGCTCCCGACAGTGAGTGGGGAGCCAGGCCCAGGTGCCATATGAGTGAGACAGTAACAAGAGTGGGGGCTGGGTCAGGGTGAGACATTGCACATGCATCGTTCTGCCAAGTCCCAGAACCCCAATTCATAGTAGCTTGGGGTGATTTAATGCAGTGGTGTGGGAGGAGAACTCAAGGGCCTTGGTTTCTAGCCCTGATTTCTTTAATTTTTAATTTAAATATTTTATTTATTTAAAGATTTATTTATGCATACAGAACTGGGGTACAGGCCAGAGGTGCAGGGGTGAGATGATTGGCCAGAGATAGAGTGGGGAGCAGAACAGGCAGACTGATGAAGTACACTACTGAGGGGCGCATGGCCGGGTCAGGAGAGGTCGGCTGAGCACTGGGGGTCACCTTCCTGGCTACGAATTGAACTGGTGCTGAAGTGGCTGCAGCTAGCTTCATAGTGCTGTGCTTTAATCTGTTGCACCACCAGGGAGGGCCCGATTTATTTTATTGATTTATGCACACAAGAACTGGCGTGTAGGCCAAGGGTGCCTCTTCAGTGACCGTCTTACCCCTTTGGGACAATTTTCTCTGAGTCAGTCCCCTGCCAGGTCTCCTCCCTCTCAGCAAGTGACAGTAGCTGCTGTCTCTTTCACTTGCATTTTCAAACAACAGCTCCACCCAGTGAGAACCATTATGTAGGTTTGTGAGGCAAGCAATGCCGCCTAAAGCTGGATGGGAAAGGTCAGGAGAGATGGCCAGGCAAGACATTTGCTCTTTATTCAGCGAACAAGGAGTAGCAGGAGTTTTCTCAGTGGGAAGGGGGTGAGATCTGCTTTAGAGAAATGAAATTTGGGGCAGCTGCAGGGTGAACGGGAGGGGAGGCCAAGGAACAGAAGGGGGGACTGCAGCCTCCTGCAGCCTTCTCACCCAGTTGTGTTCAGTCAGGGAGGGCTGCGCTTACTGGCAGGTAGCAAAGTTAAGGTGCATCCTCATGCTGCTGGCTGACCTGTGAGAATGGCATTCACTAAATCAGGATTGGACTAATATTCCAGTGTCTCGCCCTATCTTTCAAATAAACCTACTTGGAGAGGACCCCAAAACAGTATCTGTCATTGGTCCACACTGGCAAAATCTGTGTAAAAACTAGCAGAAGTGAGGAAAACGGCAACCCTTCGAGGGCTTTTCTCTCCCCTGCCTGTCCAGGGTCCACTAGCCTCAATCTCAACAAGGGGTCCATTCAGCCTGGCAGAAGGAGAGAAGGGAGAAGACTCCCTTCCCTGGCCAGGCCTGGACATGGTTTTTCATTCAAGGACCAGAGACTCCCATGCTTGATAAAGACCCATTGTGGCAGCTTCTAGAGAAATCCAGAAGTCAACAGGGGACTTTGGGGCACAGCAGACAGTTAACAGTCCTTGAACATTTGTGAAAAGAATTACTTGGCGGAAGTCAAGGCAGAATGAGGCTCCTGGGCTGCCAGTGGCACCGTCCCTGGCAGGGAGGCTAACGGCGAGAGCAGCAGCAACGGGGCCTGCCTGCGCCGACGGGCCTGAAGGCCGGAGGCACCCAGAAGCTGTGGAGGGCTCCCCTCAGACACTGGAACATGAAACCCAATCTCCAGCCACATGCAAGAAACAACTGCTCCTTTAAGAAGGCTGGGGAAGAGCGAGGAGCCTCCTGCCCCCCGCCCCCCCTCCAAGAGCATCCAAGCAATAAATGACAGGGAGGGAGGAAGGCCCAGGGGTGGCAGCCAGCCTGGAACCTACTGAGGAGTGATGCTCTTTCTGCTCCATTCTTTAACTCGCTGCGCGCCCAGGCACCTCATCATTCGTAGATCTTGCTGAAACCCAAGTAGCAAGAGATGTCCCAAGACCTGAGATGAGCAATGCTGGGGAGATGACAGGGAGAGTGGCTAGTCGGGGGGCTTCGGTGGGAAGTTTGGGGTAGAGCCAAGGGTCGGGAGCCCATGACTGTGTATGCCCCCAGGAGTTGGGGGAGGACCAGATTCCTGGGGGCGACAGGGAGGGTGCAGGAATTGTGCTTAGTCAACCCAGATCCTACCACAAAGTCTGTGCCTCTTCCTGCCTTTCCTGGCAGAGTGGCCCAACCGCGTGGGGAAGGGAATGGAGTCCAGGTCAGAGGGCAGCGCGGCGGCCTCTCAGGGCTCCTCTGAAAGCCGCTCTCCTGGCCAGGTGGTGAGCCGGGGATTAGAGAGCAGAGGTTAAAGCACAGTCAATGCTGTGCCCCTGCTCTGTCCTAAAAGGACTGGCGGGGGGGTTGGGGGGGGGCATGGCAGACACAGCTCACGTCACGGAGGCTTACTCTCCCTTCCCTGGAAGATGCTTCACCTGCCCTGCAGCAGCAAGGCCCAGTCACGGTCACATCAAAGCCACACACCCCCACAACAGAGCACAAAGCCCTGTAAAATCGAGTTAGAGCAGGCATTAGTCCACTCATGCAAGACTCGTGAATCGCCGAGGATCGGCGCAGCGTGGCTGAGAGCAGGCCAGTTCCGTTTGGAGTAGTGATAGCAAAAGCTGTGGGGAATGGTAACCAACTCTGCTCTCTCTTGCCTCCTAAAAGCCTCATGACAGACTTCACCTGACACCACTGAGATTCGTTTCAGGCTGGTGAAGGAGCCGAACACACGTGTTTTCTGAAACCTAAGCACTTTTTGCCTGGCTGGAGCCTGTCCCAGCTAGTGATACACACGTGCACACAGACTGCTAGAACACTCTGTCCTGATCCCATGGCTTCCACAAACACAAAAGCAAACCCGGAGGACTGAGCTGGAAGACCTGGGTGTCATTTATTGACAGCAGCTTACACACATTTGTTTTCATCCTGGGGCTGTTCCCTTCAAAGCAGGCAGGGTGCTCTAGCAGGGCAGTCAGTCTCTGATGCAGGAGCCAGGGACGCAGGCCGCACGTCTTTGGCAGGCAAGCTCAGCCCCGGCAGGATGCAATCCTTCAAGCTGGAGCTCCACTGGGTATTTGAGACCCCGAGGTGGGAGTGGAGAGGAAGTCTTCCGCAGGACTCACATCTCGGTCCAGGCCTGCTCTCACCATCCAAGTTCATCTGTTTTAGGGCTCTGGGGGCCAGCACATCAGGCCCACCCACCTTCACCGGGCAGCTTCTTCTATCCATGCCCTGCTCGGACACACCTGCTTCGCCAGCCCCTCGGTTAAGGAGGATCAGTCTCAGGGTAACTGACAGACTACTTCCTCTCTGACCGCCCCTCTGCACCTTTTCAGCTGTCTGTGGCAGGAACCGCTGGAAAGCCCTGGGGCCTGCCCCTCAGCTCAGCTGCGCGTGCCAACTTCCTCAAGTCTTGAATAAATGGTGAGACAGAGGTTACAAGTTTACTCAGGGCAGGCCAATGACTGCGCTCCCAGGCCCACGACACCCACCCCCCCCCGCCTTTCTTCTGCCGATCGCCGAAGCCTCGGCTGGCACACCAGCAGACCCCGAAGCCAGGAGCCAAGCTGGTCTGTGCAGGCACTTGGCAATTTTTGGTAGGACAATGGATAAAAACGTGGATGGGAATGAGAATGAAAGTTTCATCGGATAGAGTAATTAGAGTTGAAGTGATTTTACTTTTATTTCCTTCATTTTAAGCCAATCATGAAATTTCACAGTGATTTCTGGGGTGGGGCAGAAGGAAGGCGGTGTGAAGCCCCCCTGGAGCTGTGGCCCAGGTGGCCCGAGGCAGCACAGGCAGGCGGCCTCACTGGGGCAGCTGGAGCAGCACCGACTGCCCAGCGGGCAGGTAGGTGATGTTCCGAGAGCGCGAGAGCTGGTAGGCGATGTCCTCTGCGGCTTCCAACTTGCGCAGCTCGATCAGGCCGTCTCCTGCAGTGGCCAGCGAGTTGGCGATCAGCTCTGCGGCTTTAGAGTCTCCCTCGGCAGAGATGATGGCTGCTTTCTTCTGCTGCTCAGCCTACGAGGGTGGAGACAAGAGGACACCTGAGGCCCTGGGTGGCGGACAGGACTCCCCAGGACCAGGTGAAGCAGCTTCTCTGGTCCTTGAAAGACTCTGCGAATTCACCTCCTCGTCACCATCCGACCTCCCTCTCATCTGTAATGCCCACTTCCCATTACTGAAGGGATTGTTTTGTCAGCCACACAAGCACCTGTCTGATTTCAGAGGCTTCATAATATTAATAGCAATCCAGCCCAGCCACCCTTCCTACACCCAGCCAGAGGCTCCGAGGCCAAGGAAAGCAGGCGAAAATAAAGGGGGATCAATCTCAGGCTCATCTTTCCTCGGCTCCAGTCAAAGTGACTTTCATTAAAACCAGGGAAGCTGAGGAGCAGCAGCAGGCACGTGTGGTTCTCCCAGAGGAGCCACAAGCTACCCTGGCTCCCACGTGGGCACCCAGGCACCCAGAATGAGACCCACACTTTCCTACTGAGAGGGTGCCACAAACAGCATGAGCAGCCGTGGCCTTCGGAAGTGTGGGAGGAGAGTACAGTGGCCGCCTCTCTGAAACTAACAACTGCCTTGAAACTGCCAGGCCATGACTGCTCACGCAACACGTTTCCCGAGTACCTAGTACCCCAGGCAGCCTGAAAATGCGTTGTAGGCTCTGGAGATCCACAGACACAAAGCAAAGAGCCCACACAAAGTTAATTTCCCTAAAATGAATTGCTGGCCATCCATACATCTGTTTTCCCCCCAATTCTAATGAAGGGTCTGGATTAGGAACACTTGGCCCAAGAGGTTTGGTGAGAAAGGGGCTGCATGAACAAACTCTTGTAAAGACCAAGAAGACCAGTATTCTGCTATGCGAATACACTGCATCCCATCACACTCTGATACATCTGGATGGATTTAGTGCTCGAAAAAAATCAGTGAGGATAGCACATCTGGCCCCAACTGTTTGATCCTTTTTGCTGTCAGCTTTCACTGTGTAACCACTGTTAAAAATGACTTCAGCTTCTGAGTGAAGCTGAAAACATTCCAGGAGAAACATTTTTATTTGTAGGAGAGTGTTTTTGATCTTAGGGAAGTGGAAAAAAAATTACCCTTCAGTGATTTAAGAATGTAACTTCACATATCCCTCACTAGCCCCCAAAGACTCTGGAACCAATTGCAGAGTATGGGCCCTTCAATCCCCTTCCGATGATCCCGGAAGGAGAGATGACAGATGATGAATTTCCAGGCCACCCAGCAACGGGAGGCTGAACATAGGAGGAGGCAAGAGGCTCCCGCCATCTGGCTGAACGCTCACCTTTTCCACCACAAATCTGGCCCGCTCTGCTTCCTGCTGAGCCACCTGTTTGGCTTCCACCGCTTCTGTGAACTCCTTCCCGAAGGTCAGATGTGTCTACGGGGAAAGAGTGAGCAAAGATGAGGCAGTGTAATTGCTTCGACAGTGCGGCTGTGGGACCTCCGTGCCACTGGAGGGAGAGCCCAGGAATGGCTCTAGCAGCTGGAGGAACGGCAAGCCAGAACACAAGGCCACCTCCTCAGTGTCTACCCTGAGTTCACACCCCAGAATCTGCGGCTGCCCCAACTGTTCCTGCACCTCATTCTGTCACCCTCGCTTGGTCTATCTCAAGTAGAAAATGGCTTGTGTCACCAGAAGGTGTCACCCCACTGACTACTTCTCTACGGGAGACAGGTGGGTTCTAGAACCCTCATCACTGAGTACTATTTCTCCAAGGTCCTCTGACAGTCTGAGGCCCCCAGGGAAGCCAGATGGAAAACTGAGCCCCTTAAAAGAAGGGGCTGTGCAGCAGGTTCCTGGGATTGAGGGTCTGATGCTCTCTGCTTATGGATTAACCAGTCTGATCCTTCTCACGACACCTCCACCACAAACAGGAAGAGGAGCGGCGAGAGACTGCAAACCATGGTGTTCCCACGTGTGAGTGCTCTGGGAAAGGGATTAAAAGACAAGGCAGGTAAAGCTATTGCCTGGGTGAGTCTAAAGTCCGATTACCCGCCGACCCTCCCCACAGCACACAGGACCAAGCCTTGGCTGAAGTGAGTGTCTCCAATGACGGTGCAAAGAAGGGGCCAGGCGGCAGAACTCTGGGGCAATCTACTCATTAATCCAACTTCTTAGTAAGAGAGGAAGATGCAATCAGAGGAGGAATAGCCTTGGTTTTGCAATTAAATTCTGTTGGCTTCATTTCTTCTTCCACCCACCCATCTGGGCAGTCTGTCTCATCAAAGTAGTTCAAAAGTCCCGAAGAGTGAATCCTTATCCTACAGTTCTTGCAGCATTTCTAACATGCCTAACTCTTAAACTGCAGCTGTTCTACTTCGCCTGCTCTGCTTCTGGACTCCTGTTCAAAGTTTGTGGAAGAAAATACAATTCTGAGAAATGAAAAATGAAATGTGTAATTAAAGAATAAAAATTAATTCTAAAGGGGCCAGTGGAGGGCAGCAAAGTCCCCATGAAATTTAATTTTCTTCTCACACCTCCCAGATAAGGTTTCTTGTGGTCAAGCCACATTTCCCCAGAATAAAGTAGGCGGTTAAAGCAAAATGCCAAGTTTCTCTGTAGGTTTTTATTTAGCATCTTCTCACAGCCAAGGTGCTTAGGTTAACTGTAAGAGGGAGAGTGGGAGGAACTGTTCTTGTCCGAGGAGCCAAATGGCTGCAGCCTGGCATCCTGCCAGTAGAGGGAGCCCACACCTTCCTCAGAAGGCAGCGAGGCTGGCGGCAGCCCTGCGGGTCAGCGCTGGGTGTTGCAGCGTGACTGTTTAAACAGCTGCACAGACGCTGAGGGGGGAATGGTGCCGGTCCCCAGCGTTGCACAGGAGAAATGAACAGGAAACACTACCTCGCTACCCGAACAAATCACTCCAAATGATTTTTCCCAGAGAATCGAGAAACGCGACCCTTTCCCCTCACCCTGCTCAATCTGAAATGCTATCCTGCCTGTGCTGCCTTCCGTCTGAGTTACGGAATTCAAAGTCACATAAATACACAGACCATGGAGTCTCAAGGGGATAGCTTACGCCTCCAACATGTCCCTTGCCCCCACACCAGGCTTTGGGGAAAGAGAATGATGCATTTACACTCTATTACCTTTCAAGGGGGCTGATTGCTGAGCTCCAGACCCTAACCATTGGGAAATTCCTAGGGGTCAGGCAGGGGAGTCTGGGCTGGGGAGAAAGGCTATCCGAGCGGGTCTCCAGTCTCCGCTAAGCAGCTTGTGCCTGTGTCAGGGTGAACAAAACAACACTTCCGGGGGTGGGGAGCTTTGGGAGCACTCAGAAGTTTGGAGAAGGTGAAAAATGTAGTGGTCAAGAACCACCTGGGTAGGGCCAGAAATCAAAGGAAAATGTATGTGGCAGGGGGAACTTGTAAAGGAAGGCTCTTCTGAAGACGAAGCGGAGGAGACTGCTCCATGCCACAAGAAATTTCCACATCCAAGTCTCATACTGAGGAAAGCAGAAGGCAGGATCTAACAGTGTATACAGAAAGGAGCCAGGCACCTAAAAGAGACCCACAGCCCAGCCCGGCAGGTTCCCCAGGGAGCTTACCAAGGACACATCATCCAGGATGAGCCCAAAGGTTGCTGCTCGCTCCGTGAGGTCATCGCTCACCTGCCTGGAGACCAGTTCTCTCTGGGTGATCAGTTCTCCAGCATCAAAGCGAGCCTGGTTCCAAGGGAGGGCAGAGGAGCAGGCCAAGATAAAGAGGAAGCAAGAAGTCACCAGGACACTAGCCACATCCCCAGTCACCCACTGCCAAGCTCGCCACAGCTCCCGGGCTTGTGCTCTGGGCTCGAGGCTGAGGTCCTGTTCACTCACCACCACCGACTTGAGGATTTCTGTAGTGATGGACGGCAGGACACGCTCGTCATAGTCCTCTCCGATGCTGGTGAAGATGCGGGGGAGCTGGCTGGCAACCGGCCGGAAAAGGATGCGCAAGGTGATGTTGACATTCTGTAAATCTTAGGGTAGTGGACATATATTGGGCTTAAATAAAAGCACAGAGGCATTTTCCATGACCTCTTCCTGCCCAAAAGGGCCACAATTCTACAAGCCAGGAGTTGACTGTCGGATACTAGACACTAGATGGTAAGGAAGGTGTCTGCATGGTTTCCATGGGGAGAACCACACAGCATCACGGGGTGAACTTAAAGGCTTTTTTAAAAAAAAGATTTATTTATTTATGCATACAAGAACTGGGACACAGGCTAGAGGTGCAGGGGGTGAAAAGATTTACCAGAGACAGAGTGGGGAGCAGAACAGGCAGATCTACTGAAACACACTGCCAAGGGGAGCAGCGGGCAAGATAGGAGAGGTCTGGCTGGAGATCAAGCTCATGCCACAATAGCTGTGGACAGCTTCACAGTGCTGTGCTTCAATCCCCTGTGCCACCAGGGAGGACCCGCAACTTAAAGGTTTCTTTCTGGTAATGACAGCTTTGTAGTACATCCTGAATATAAACGATTCACTATATACTGAACAGAGCGACAGAAGTGATTTTGATTATATGCCCAACTGGTGCCATGGGCTGTTTGGAACACTTGAGTATTTTAAGATAACAGGCCAATGCCAAGAATTTTAGGGTAAGCTCTTTCCAAGCCCTTGAATGTGGTCCAAGTCAGGAGTACGCCTTGGAGAGATTTCATGGGTCCAGGAGAAATAACCCACTGTGGACTGGGCTGTCTAGAGGCCTGGGCTGCAGCCCGCTCTGCTGCTTACTAACTGTGTGGCCTCACTACGTGTCAGCCAGCTCAGCTTATTTCCTTGTCTGTAAGAGTGGGGATGACTTCAATGGCCTTTCAGGCACATGGAGGAAAACTGAAGGAGAAAGCACGTAAAAACACTGTCAAATGTGCAACAGATGTAAGGGTTATCAGACTCATCCAGAGTCCATCCCTATCACGTGGCCCAGGAAAGGACCCAGGCCGGGAATTACAGCTTCCCTCACAACAGAAGCCTGCATGGTGCTAAAGCAGCATCACGGCTTGCTGGCAGCTGTTAATGTTATGGACCGAGGCCCATAAGATAAAATCCTGAGCCCGTTGTCAAGAGAACATACACAAACAAGTCCCTGACTCTGAAGTCCCAGCTCAGACCTCAGTTTCTCACAGGAGCCTGCCTGGCACTGGGGAAGCTGGTGCCTGCTTCTCCTCCCTACCCTGGGTGCTAGTGCGTACTACACTCTGCTGAAACTACTTGTTTGTATGAGTGTCTCCCTACAAGATTGCACTCTCAAGGTCCCTGGCTCTAGGCAGTGAACTACCCCCCCACCCTCCAGGCCAGCACAAAGATAGTAAGCAAACATCTGCTGAGGAGCCCTGAAGTGTCACTGAGGTAATCAACCAACATTCATGCGACCCTCCCATCTTTCTGCACAGAAATGTCACTGCTGAGCCAGCTCCTGCCATTCCATTTACGGCCTGTGCACCACTCTGTGGGTTGGGGGAGAAACGCAAGAGCCACTCATTTTAGTGGAAACCCCAAAGATGTGAGACACCAGAAGCGCACTCTCAGGGATCTGGGCCTCGGCCTGTGAGGCAGCAGTACAGTCACGGGGCCTTGGAAAGCAAGGCAAAGCAGGCAAACAGTAGCGCCAGAGATTGACTTATACAGTCAGTCTAAGGAACAAGAAGAGTGGAGGGGTCAACTGAGGGAGCAAAAGGCACATTCTGATTTCTTTCACATTATCACTAAGTATCTTTTTTTGTCTATTTTTCCAAACCTGCCCAACACAGGTGGCACAGGGGGTAAAGCCCAATGTCATCAAACTATCTTGGCCACTGCGGCATGAGTTTGATCCCCGGCCAGGGAGGTGACCCACATGGCGCAGCAGACCTCTCCGGTCCCACCGCTGCTCCCCTCAGGAGTGTATATTAGTGGATCTGCCTGTCCTCCTCCTCACTCTGTCTCTGGTGAATCCTCTCACCCCCTGTACCTCTGGCCTGCACCCCAGTTCTTGTATGCATAAATAAATCTTAAGGAAAAAAAAGAGTTGCCCAATGTGAGTCCTTAGGTGCACATTTCTATCCATAAAAAGCACTTCTGGGCAACTATGCCAGGAATTACTATATTGAGTTGAACCTCTCTTGGGCCCTGATGTCCCACAAATGCTCCCGGGATTGACAAAAGCACACAGTACCCCTTTCTACATGCTCTACTTCATGTGACTCACAGGCCAGACTCACCTTTGCTGCCAGTGATTACTGGCACATTACGTGGCCGAGAGCGGCAGTCGAAAAGAATTGGTTTTTGCACCCAAGGGATGAGAAAGTGAGTTCCTTCCCCTACCACGATGTCCTGCACCCCACGGAACCGGTCAAAGATGACAGCTCTGTGCCCGGCATCCACTAGAAATGAAAGGAAGGAAGTGTCAGAGGAATTTT